CCCCCCCCCCCCCCCCGCAAGCCAGCGCCAGGGCCTGGGGGCTGCCACTCCTTTTCCCCCTCATCGCCCATCCCTCCTGCAAACTCATCCCAGGGTCCCCCAGCCCTGTCCTCCAAACAGATTCCCAGACTCTAAACAAAAAAAGGCCAGAGGGGCTCCAGGGGACCCGGCTGGCTCCCAGCCAGCCCTGCTGAAAAGAGATCACAAGAAGCCGGTTTTACTCGTCAGAACAAAGTTTCTGGTGACTTTCCAAGATGCTCTTCGTACTGTTTTCTCCATCTTTCTTCTCCTCCTTCCCTCCTTCCTCTGTATTTTTCACAGTCTCAGCCAGGATAGAGGTATTCCCTGTCACTGTTGATGCACTTGTGGAGCACCATTCCCTTCCTTGTCAGCTTTGCATACACTCCCGTGGCATTTTGTTCTCTGCCCCTGCTTTTATGTATCACCAGAATTTAGCATCTTGTGTTAGCAAGTGAGGAGGAACTCAACTTACCTGTGAGGCTGCTGCTGCCTGTGGTTTTCCCCATAATTAGCCGTGATTGGGTCAGGTGGATGAAATCCGTCTCCTCACGCAGGCCCAGCAGTAGCGACTACAGTGTGGATGTGGAGATGTAATGTGTGTGTGTGTGTGTGTGTGTATCACCTACTGCCAGTGCTTATAGCTGTGCTGGTAACTAGTGAAAGTCAGTCTCATATGGGAGGTCTCAGGGTAAAGGAGTTGAAATGGCTTGCAAAAGGTCATCAGCAAACCTAATATAAACTCAGTGTCCTGCATAAATTCTTGCTCTACCTGCTATCACACAGCCTCCTCTTCATGTAGAGACATATTATAACAATATTAATGAGCAACATCATTTGCTCATTATCTCTCCCATGATTTTGTAGGAAAAGAATAAAAGTAGGAGCACTTTGCCTGTATCCTTTCAGTTGTCTCAGAAGTAAAATCGAACTGACCCAAATCCAGCCCAAGCATAACATGACTGCCCACAGCAGGAGATAGGCCAAGTCTGGTGCTGCTGCAATCAGCAGGGCTCCTGCCCAGCGAAGGGATTGCACCGCACTCTGCAGTGGGGCCCGAGCCCTCAGCCCGCGGCAGGGGGGCCACAGCCCCCAAGGTGCCCGCGGCAGCTCCCCGCAGCCCTGCGCAAGGTGCACAGGGTGCGTAGAGGGGCTGTCATACCTTCAAGACGTGCATTAGAAGGAAGAGTCTGGTGTTGTTTGAAAGGCTGGAAAGAGGTTGTGCTTTGACTAGTAGGAAAAGCTTAGCTGTTGAAAAGCAAAGCAGTCTTGCACCAATAGGGAGCTCACACTTGTTACATAAATAATGTCAATAACACATATGCAGGGAATAACATGAAAGCAGCTTGCGGCAGACTGATGTCTAGAAATGTTATCTCTTCTGTTCCAAATCCTAATCAGCCCAGCAGTGGGCAAGCCAGGAACATTTTAGATTATGTCTACGCTCGTGGTTGATGGAAAGTCTGAGAGGAACATAAGCTAAAATATTTGGGATTTTTTCCCTCCTCCTCTGGCAGTGAAATTGTTTGGTTACATTGATTTATTAGAATGACGTAACGCACAGTATCATATCTGGCCATCGACTGCCACTCAGCAAAAGGATGTGGTGAGATCACATCGCCAAAATAATAAGGCGCTGGAGTTCCTAGACAGGAGGTTACATATCATCAGGACAGTTTCAAATGTTTGCGGATGGCTTTGATAGTTGCAGGAGGGTAATGTTGTTCTGTTTTTCCATTGACAGAGTCTGGAAGGTACCTGATGCCAATTCAAGTACAGGTTCCTTTGCAGAGGGACACTAGAATGGATATATATATACATGTAAGAATATACATGTTCCTGACTGTCAAGTTTTTACTCATCACTTTCTAACCGTCTTAGCCAAGGAAGAAAGAAATCTTTGCCCTGATCCTGTTGCCTTCAGTTCAGAGGAATATTTTTGGGCCTCAGGTTTTACAAATCGGTGTGTGTCTGTGTGTGTGTGTCTTGTCCTGGTAAGTTGAATGATGCCACCAGGAAAGTCCCAAAGGGGTGCTGGAAAGAGTAGACCAGCCAGGTTCAGCTTCAGCACCGGCAGGTTGAGCAGTGTCTGCTCTCGGCCTGGCTCCAGCTGTGCATCCGGCAGCAGCTGGCAGAGAAACTCTTCTGCACAGACACAGCCCCGCTGCACATGGGTGCTTGGTCTCCCTCGATTTTTCCTTCTATGTACTTTTTTCCCCAGGAGCTGATTATTATCTGGCTGAAATGTATATCCTTCTGAAAAGTAATTCTTTGCTATGAGCACAGAAAATCTCTGTTAGGAATAGACTTAGATCAGGGCTTTTGCCGTTTGTCTGGTTCTTTCAAAATGGGGTGACAAGCATTTCTTCTGCTATGTATGTTTTCCTAGTGTCCTTTGCATCACATATTTTCCCATGACTCTGAGCGAAGTATGGAATGGTTGTTACAAAATAAGCAAAGAAGCAGGGGGATTATTCCAATGGTCTTGCAAGTTTGGCGAATTTCATCTTCTTCAAAAGGGGAAAAAAATAACTGTGTCCTTGTGAGCAAATGATTAGAAGAAGACTGGGAATACAATAATTACCCCAAATGGAAACTCAGACCGCAGTCAAACAATACAGCTTTTGTAAACCGGCTCTGCCTGTAAAAAATCTAGGAAATCTCATAACTAGAGCTGGCGAAATCCTTTTCTTATGCAACGATATGTAAAAGGCTCCTGAGAAATGAGGAGTAAACATGGGAACGCTATAAAATGCCATGGTAATGAACTTGCTCTGAGGATCGGAGATCGCCTTAGCGGTACCAGCATGGATTCTTTCAACCACAAAGTATTTTCTCATGTTGCAGAATTTGGGACAAATTACATTTCGTGACATTTCGCCAATAAACAAGCACGTGAAGAGAAATAAACCGAGACTTGCTGTAACCTACCTTGATCGTTGTGGAATTCAAGGGGGACCGAAGGAATTGGGAGCGAGACAGTGCTGCTTTGAATGAATGTCCTTTATGAGAGAACGGAGAGAAGATCATTTATATCCTTCATATTTTATCGTTTTGCCTCTAGGAAAGAAAAGACCAGCGGAGCCCCGACTGTCATTTACTCATAATGATCGCATTCAATCTAATGATTCACAGTGAATCATATAATAAGGTTTCCATTTTGCGCATGGGGAAAAGAAGGAGGGGTAATTAAACTTTGTTTAGTTCACATTCATGCCCCCGGTCTCCTGTTTCCCTTGAACTGTCCAGTTCAAACGACTCACCCATGGGGCGATATTTTTTTCGTTTTTTTTTCCCCCCTCGATTACCCTCCCAGCAATAAAACCCCCTGGAAGGAAAGCTGACAGGTTAATTGTACAGTTTTCCTACAACAACGTTTCATCCGAGCGCGCCTCACTGGGGCTAACTCCGCTTTCGCGGCCTCTCGGGACGGCGGACCGGGCCGGGGCCGGGGGGGCCGTGGCG